GGAAGTGTGGGCCTGCTTTTGGCTGATGAGATAGGATTGTTGTTGTCGTGTGCTTTCAGGTCGTTTCAGATTTAGGTTGACCTTAGCGAGGGCCGGATAAATGACCTTGGAGGGCCGTATCAGGCCCCCGGGCCATAGTTTGAGGACCCCTGCTGTAGATGATAAAGAATCCAGCCTTTGAAGAGTGTTTAGATCTCTTGTGAAAGGTTCACTTTAACTCCATTGCGCCATTCTATAGCACCTTAGCCACTGAACACTTAGTCACCAGGCACTTAACAACTTAAAACGTTAACTTCTGCACCTTATTGCCTGTATCCTATACCTGCTAAATTTGAACACCCATGTCGGCCCTCAAAGTGTGGTATGTGCTGATAATATTGCTAGCAAACGGGGGAGGGGAAAGAGGGGGGAGTGGGTGGAGAGAATTCAGAAACAACATTGCAGGATTAGGTAACAATTGGAAGGGATTAGGTTGGCAGAAAGGGAAGATAACGAAGGAGATAACCTGGAGGAAATCATGGGATGAGTTTGCAATCTTGAAGTGCAATATGGAGGAAGAGGAGCATTCCATTGGCCGGGGGGCCCCTATAGTAGTCCTGACGGGGAGGGGGAGATGCGGGAAAGGGAGACCTTTAATTCGGCAACCAATTCGGCCATCTATTCGGCTCAAAAACAGTAAAGAATCAATGATTCAAATTCGGCCTAAGGGGAGGAAAAGAAATCAAAATAATTTAATAAAATGTAATCGGTCTCCTGACAGAGTAAATGGGTGTAACCAGGTCAGCGGTCCCTCCGGGTTGAAGATGGTGCTGTTGAACGCCAGATCTGTCAATGGTAAAACATCTTTCATCCAGGATTTAATCCTGGAGGAACGGGCAGATCTGGCGTGCATTACGGAGACCTGGCTGGACGAAGCTGGAGGAGTTAATTTAACCCAGCTTTGCCCGCCAGGTTTCTCCGTACAGCACCAATCGAGACCTGGAGGGCGGGGAGGCGGAGTAGCGGTAGTCTATAAAAATTCGATCCCTCTGACCAGAGGCCCCATCCTTCAGTCGACTAATTTTGAATGTGTCCATCTGAGGGTGGGAGACCGGGACAGAATAGGGATTCTGTTAGTGTACCGCCCACCTCGCTGCACTACAGTCTCCCTGCCTGAGCTAGCGGGGGTGGTCTCGAGCCTGTCATTGGAGTCCCAACGGCTCCTTGTGCTGGGGGACTTCAATATACACGCCGAGACTGCCCTAGGGGGAGCGGCTCAGGACTTCATGTCTTCCATGGCAACCATGGGGCTGTCCCAACAAATAACTGGCCCCACCCACAGTGCTGGGCACACATTGGATTTGGTCTTCTGTCAAGGATGGGAGCAAGGTGGCGGGGTTGAGGAGTTATCCATCTCTCCGTTGCCATGGACCGACCACCATCTGGTCAGCTTTAGACTTACTGCACCTCCTAACCTCTGCAGAGGTGGGGGACCCATTAAGATGGTCCGCCCCAGGAGGCTTATGGATCCGAATGGATTCCTGATGGCTCTTGGGGAGTTTCCCGCTGCCTCGGTTGGTGATCCTGTCGATGCCCTGGTGGCTCTCTGGAATGGGGAGATGACCAGGGCAATAGACACGATTGCTCCGGAACGTCCCCTCTCAAGTAGCCGAGCTAAACCAGCTCCTTGGTTCAACGAGGAGCTGGCAGCAATGAAGCGAAAGAAGAGGAGACTAGAGCGTGTGTGGCGTTCGGACCCAAGCGAGTCAAACCGAGCACGGTTTGTTGCCCTATTAAGGGCATATGCCGTGGCAATAAAGGCGGCAAAGAAATCCTTCTTTGCGGCCAATATTGCGTCCGCAAAGAACCGTCCGGCTGAGCTGTTTCGAGTTGTCAGAGGCCTGTTGAAGCCCACCATTTCGGATGGGAGCCCTGACAACTCGGCGGCTCGCTGTGAAGCATTTGCACGGTTCTTTGCGGACAAAGTCGCTTTGATCCGTTCAAGTCTGGATACCATGTTAACGGCAGTCTCTGAGAATGTGACGAGAACACCTGTCTGTCCGATTTTGATGGATTCGTTTCAATTTGTGAAACCTGAGGATGTGGACGAGGTGCTTGGAGGGATGAGAGCAACCACATGCATCCTAGACCCCTGCCCATCCTGGCTTCTAAAGGAGGCCAGAGGGGGATTGGCCGAGTGGGTGAAGGTGGTGGTTAATGCCTCCCTTCGGGAAGGCAAAATTCCAGCCAGCTTAAAGCAAGCTGTTATAAAACCGCTGTTGAAGAAACCATCACTGGACCCCACTCAATTCGTCAACTATCGGCCTGTTTCCAATCTTCCCTTCTTGGGCAAAGTCCTGGAACGTGTGGTGGCCTCACAACTCCAAGCATTCTTGGTAGACACTGATTATCTGGATCCGGCACAGTCTGGCTTTAGGCCGGGGCATGGTACCGAGACAGCCTTGGTCGCCTTAGTGGATGATCTCCGGCGTGAGCTTGACAGGGGGAGTGTGTCCCTGTTAGTTCTGCTGGATCTCTCAGCGGCCTTCGATACCGTCGACCACGGTATCCTTCTGAGACGCCTTGCGGGAATGGGCCTGGGAGGCACTGTTTTACAGTGGCTCAGGTCCTTCCTAGAGGATCGTTCCCAGAAGGTGTTACTGGGGGACAACTGCTCGTCCTCACAACCATTGATTTGTGGGGTCCCGCAGGGTTCAATACTGTCCCCCATGTTATTTAACATCTACATGAAGCCGTCGAGATCATCCAGAGTTTTGGAGTTCGGTGTCATCTGTACGCAGATGACGTCCAACTCTACTACTCCTTTTCAACAGCTACTAAGGAGGCTGTTCAAGTCCTGAATTGGTGCATGGCTCCTGTGTCGAACTGGATGAGGGCAAACAAATTGAAATTGAATCCAGACAAGACAGAGGTACTCCTGGTCAGTCGAAGGCCGAACAGGGTATAGGGTTACAGCCTGTGTTGGACGGGGTCGCACTCCCCCTGAAGACGCAGGTTCGCAGCTTGGGTGTGACTCTGGATTCTTCGCTAACCTTGGAACCCCAAGTTTCGGCGGTTTCCAGAGGAGCATTTGCACAGCTTCGGCTTGTGCGCCAGCTGCGCCCGTATCTTGGGAGGTCGGACTTGGCCACGGTAGTCCACGCTCTTGTCACATCCCGTATAGATTACTGCAACGCGCTCTACGTGGGGTTGCCCTTAAAGACTGCCCGGAAGCTTCAGATGGTCCAGCGCTCGGCAGCCAGGTTGCTAACGGGAGCGGCTCTCAGGGAGCATACCACCCCCCTGTTGAACCAGCTCCACTGGCTGCCAATTTGCTACCGAGCACAATTTAAGGTGCTGGCTTTAGCCTATAAAGCCCTACACGGTTCCGGCCCCACTTACCTCTCCGAACGCATCTCCACCTATGAACCGGCAAGGGCGTTAAGATCGTCCGGGGAGGCCCTGCTCTCGGTCCCGCCAGCGTCACAAGTGCGGTTGGCGGGCACGAGAGACAGGGCCTTCTCGGTAGTGGCCCCTCGGCTATGGAATGCGTTACCAGTGGACATCAGGCAGGCCCCTTCGTTGCTGGCGTTTCGAAGGAGGGTTAAGACGTGGCTCTATGAGCAGGCATTCGGTTAGCCATGCAGTAACAACCACCCAATAATGACGGCATTGAACAAGGATTGAATTAAGGACTATGAGAACGGGATCTGATTCTAAGTAGGCGTTGATGATTATGTGTATTGTTTGTGGATGTGCGTCTTATATATTGTTCACTGTTTATTTTTACTGTAAACCGCATTGAGTCGCCGTTCCAGGCTGATAAATGCGGTATACAAATAGAGTAAATAAATAAATAAATAAATAAATGTAAGTCTAGCCGTTGGCCCCCATGTCACCCGCGTAGTGTATTTGCTTTGGGTTTTAGCCTGTGCAGCTCTCTGATGTCCTGCTCTTTCCTTTTTTTAAGAAGTAGATTTCAGAACTGTGGCTAGTTCCTTTTAAAATTTTGACTAAAATCTGGAGTACATTTCACCACGGCATTGACACAGGAGGATACTTGCTTGTACTACCATGAAACCAAAAGTACAGATTTTTGCCTTGACTGTTTTTCTTGTCTTTCTCCCTCACAAAATGAATTAATTGCTAAAGAACATGTAGAACAGCCCCAGGAAGAAATTAGTGGGATTTATTTAGAGCTTACAAACTGTTTTGTTTCTGCGTTGTTGAAGGATTTCATGGCCAGAATCGACACCTATGTGGACAATTTCAGATTTTAGAGCATTTTGAATTTCCATATAAGAGATGCCCAGCCTACTTGTATTTTTTTTTTTTTTTGGTAGCTGTTTGTTATTGTGGCTTATTTTGTTATTGGATTTGTTAAATCAGATTTTGTCCTCTAAAATGACTCATTCTATATGACAATTTTCTTTTTGTTTAACAACTCATGAGAAATAATTTTGAAGCCACTAATAGTTGGTTCAGTCTCTTATGAGCCATTACCAATGGCAATATATATAAATTTGCCATAAATTGTCTTGAAGACTCCAACTGTTAATTTGTTCCCCTTGTTGGTAACATAGAAATTTAAGTACACACCGTTTTGATTTTTCTCCATTCTTTCATACTCGTTTTGTAACAGTTCTTGTTACTGTTTGTGATATCATTTTGTTCCATTTGATATTGGGTTCTCTTTCAGGGGGAAGGATCTTATATACTTCGTTTATTCTTTTTAAAAAAATGCTTGCACTTTACTTTCACCAGTTATGGAATCAAATCCCAGCAGATAGCAAGGACCACAGTACTTAATATGGTTTTAAAAAATAGTTTGCACCCTGGTTTCTCCTGCCATAGAACCCAAGGCAACTTAGAAAAATAAATCTTAGCTAAAAGGTTATATTACAAAAGAGAAAGCCCATCACCAACCGTCTTAACGTTCGGGCTGTCTCTACTTGCTATGGATGTCATAGCACATAGCACTGATGCTCCTCTTTTGTTATCTCTCCACTGCCTTTTTGCAGGTAGCAGCATGGATGAATATAAAGGCTTGACAGATAATGAACTTATTACCCGTTTGAAGAAGTACAATATCTCACATGGACCTCTTGTCGGTATGTATGGCAGTAAACGGTTCTGGCCCAACTTACCTGTATGAACCTATCTCCCCTTATGAACCATCGAGAACTTCAAGATCGTCTGGGGAGGCCCTGCTCTCGGTCCCGCCTTTGTCACAAGTACATTTGGTGGGGACGAGAGACAGGGCCTTCTCAGTGGTGGCCCCATGGCTATGGAACACTCTGCCTAGGGAGATCAGATCTGCTCCCTCACTCTTAATGTTTCATAGGCAAGTAAAACATGGCTGTTCAAGCAAGCATTCACAAATGCAGAGTAGCTAATACAGGAAATCGAATGACTTGACAATGGAATTGGACAAAGCTTGATAATAAGGAGACGCTAATGATGTTGTTTTTATTGCTGTTGTGGCTCATCTGTTGGGAGTGCTTTGATTGTGTATTCCTGTATGGCAAAAGTGGATCAGACTGGATGGCCCTGGGGAGATCTTCTAACTATGGTTCTCAGACTCTAGGTCTTGTTGGTGCTGAATGAGGCCTGCTTTCTCTAAAGGATCAGATAATCTTGGCACAGGGCTGGTAGAAATGTTTGCAAGGTGATGTGGCTTTGGGAAAGGAAGCATCCCTTTGATGTGAGTGTATCTGGAATTGTCAAGGGAGGAGCCCGATATTTGGCAGAAGATTTGGCAGAAGAAAAAAATGACTTTAAGGGAAGATTTTGAAACCCTATCAGGGAGATTGAGCCTGGGTGTCAAAGGGAGAAGGTGTTAGGAGTTTGGAGTGGTGAAGAAGGTTAGGAAGAGGCCTGAAATTGGTCTGTTGGCTAGCAGAGTTAGCTAGTGAAAGAAATTCTACGACAATTAGGGAAATAGCTGGTGGAGGAGTGGAGAGATAGATCCAGGATAGGACTATCTGTGCTGGTGTTTTGAATTACTGTCAGCGAAACAATCCTGTCAGTATTTCTCTGGAGGGAGAGAGAAGTGTTTCATGTGTAATTAAGTCTGAACTGTTTAAAGTAAACACACTCTTTTTAAGTCAGTATTTTGAAACAGTTAAGCTTTATACCTGAATTGGTCCTGTTCTCTTAAATAAACATCATTGTTTTGTTGTTCACCACAACTGCCTCATGTGTGCCTCTGTGGGTGAAGTTTTAAGAGCAGTTTCCTGCAGCAAACAGGAGACTAATAGTGGCAGCGTAGATTTTAAAGAACAATCTTTAGTGTTAACTCAGAAACACAAGCTTGAGGACTAAATCCAACACACTCTTGCCTAAGAATACTTCCAGTAAGCCAAGGGCTTATCAGTGCTTCTAAGTTGGTGGGTGCCAGAGGGCTTTCAAAAAGGGTTTTTCGGCCAGAAGAAAGTTCCAGCTTTCTTTACAGCTTTTTGATTTTGGGCTTGTAAACACAGAAGCCACATTCAATCTAAGTGGTGTTCCGCTTTTGGAATTTATTTTCAAATAAAGCCTCTATCTTGTTATAATGTACAAAGGTGAGAATGCTAGGAATTACAGCCCAACAGTATCTTGGGGGTTACATGGTTCTCACTTCAGCTGCAGACTTTTGTCAGTTTGGTTTAAATCTCCAATTGGGATTCCTTCTTTTAGGATCAACTCGGAAACTTTATGAAAAGAAAGTCTACGAATACGAGAAAGAACGAAAACCACTCTCTTCATACCGAGGGTCAGGATCCTACACAGGTGAGAAGAACTGGACAGAAATGGTAACAGCTTCTGTGTAAGGCACTAACACTCTCCCCTCCCTTTGCCTTTTGCCCATGCAGAGCCAAGTAGCAGCAGCGAAAGCTACGTACGAGAGACTTATGTGAGTCCACGGAGCAGGGAAACCCTCAGCTACGGACGAGAAGGTAGGGCAGTTTTCTCTAGAGAGAATTCCTACATTAAAAATCACCAGGGCAAAGGAAATAAGTACATTCAGGAGATATTGGGGAGGGGGAGAAGGAGGGCAACAGAAGAATATGTCAAAGGGAAGGAGTGTGTGTGTGTGTATGAGTAAATAATACATATGGTTGACTTGTGATGATCATTGCATCATCTGCAAAAAGATTAATTCTTATTTCTTTCTTTTCTATTCCTTCCTTCTCTATTTTATAACCTGTCCAGTTAGGGCTGTCTCTGATACTATTAGCTAATATTAAGATGCGGAGTGGAAAAATTAAGACGGATATTTCAAATATTATTTATGTAGTTTATTTCTGTGGTTTTTATTGCTTGTGTTGTGGTTTTATATTGTTTTTCATGTTTTAATTTGTATTATGATGTTATGTGTACTAATTTGTTGTAACCTGCCTTGAGTCGCCGACAGGCTGAGAAAGGCAGTATACAAATACAGTAAATAATAGTTTATTTTAGTTTTATTTTTTTACTCTGATTTTTTATTGTTTTATTGGGGGTTTTTTTCATTCCCACCCTCCCCTCCTTATATATTCAATTTATACATCAAACTACAGAAGTTACATTTGAAATATCAGTCTCAGTCTTAATTTTTCTACTCCACATCTTAGCACATTTTCTAAATAATTCCTAACTGGTTCCCACATCCTCTTAGTTATTGTGACCTTTTCAATTTTATCTATATTATTCCATTTACAGTTTGTTATTTCCACATTTAACATACTAATTATATAGTTATACCAGTTAGTCAGTGTCCATTTTGTTTTATCCTTCCAACACCTCACTAAAACAATTTGTGCACATGCTATTAATTTGTCAACCAATTTTTCCTTTTGTATATTCTTCGCTCCTGTTATCCGTTCATGTAGTACATTTCTATTAACCATTACTATTTGTAAAATATAAATAGTTTATTGTACAAACTGTATGTCCAAGAGAAGGGCAAAGGGTGGGAGAGGGGTAAAGAAATAAAATAAAATAAAAAAGTGAAAATAATACATATTATTAACTGCAAATGGCTCTTGGTAAATGATAGATAACATCTAATGCCAAGCAAAATGTTTCTTAATTTTTCCTTCTCTTCCTTTTTTATTTTTTATTATTATTATTTTATTTTATTTTTAATATATTATTATTATTATTATTATTAATAAATAAATAAATAAATAAATATTCCTTCTCTTCCCAGCTCTTGGCTCTGGAAGGATTTATGTCAGTGAAAACTATGACTCTCCAAGAACTGAATATTACTCTGAGTATAGAAGTGAAGGTGGGTGTTTGACAGAAGGCAGGTGGGTTGTGTTAGACAAAGGGCCATGAAGGAGGAGACATTACTTATTTTGGCAGAAGCCATCTTCGAGTTTTCTTGTTGTATCGCATGTCAGACTTATCATCTCATCTTGAAATAAACTAAATGGCCTACATTTTCTCACTTTGCTTCAACACGGTATTTTTACAATCTTTCTGAATCTAGACTGCCCAGTTCTGAAAACTTGTACATTTAGTTGCATTTAATGTACCCATAAAGTTTATGAAATTGAACTTTGAAGCTATGGAAGACAAGGGTTGAAACCTAAGTGATCAAGAATATCCAATGGATGACTTTGAGTTTGCTGCCGCCCTGGAGATTAGGACGCGGAGCAATGGCTTCAAACTACAAGGAAGGAGATTCCATCTGAACATTAGGAAGAACTTCCTGACTGTGAGAGCCGTTCAGCAGTGGAACTCTCTGCCCCGGGGCGTGGTGGAGGCTCCTTCTTTGGAAGCTTTTAAACACATCATCATAGGTTGTTGTAGGTTTTTTCGGGCTATATGGCCATGTTCTAGAGGCATTCTCTTCTGACATTTCACCTGCATCTACGGTAAGCATCCTCAGAGGTAGTGAGGTCTGTTGGAACTAGGAAAATGGTTTATAATATCTGTGGAAAGACAAAGAACTCTTGTCTGCTGGAGCTAGGTGTGAATGTTTCAACTGACCACCTTGATTAGCATTTGATGGCCTGGCAGTGCCTGGAGCAATCTTTTGTTGAGAGGTGATTAGATGTCCCTGATTGTTTTCCCTATGTTGTTTTGCTGTTGTAATTTTAAAGTTTTTTTTTAAATATTGTTAGTCAGATTTTGTTCATTTTCATGATTTCCTCCTTTCTGTTGAAATTGTCCACAAGCTTATGGATTTTAATGGCCTCTGTGTAGTCTGACATGGTGGTTGTTGGAGTGGTCCAGCATTTCTGTGTTCTCAAATAATATGCTGTGTCCAGGTTGGTTCATCAAGTGCTCTGCTATGGCTGACTTCTCTGGTTGAAGTAGTCTGCAGTGCCTTTCATGTTCCTTGATTCGTGTTTGGGCAATGCTGCGTTTGGTGGTCCCTATGTAGACTTGTCCACAGCTGCGGTACATGGTAGACTCCTGCAGAAGTGAGAGGATCCCTCTTGTCCTTTGCTGAACGTAGCATTTGTTGGATTTTCTTGGTGGGTCTGTAGATAGTTTGTATGTTGTGTTTCCTCATCAGCTTCGCTATGAGGTTGCCATCTGTCAGGGGTGCTTTGAAAGCAATTTTCCTGCTTCTTGGTAGGGGGTTGGACTGGATGGCCCATGAGGTCTCTTCCAACTCTAGGATTCTATGATTCTAGGTGTTTTGGACTTAAGCTCCCACAATTCCTAACAGATGCTAAGCTTGGTAGGATTTCTGGGAGTTGAAGTCTAAAATACCAGAAGGCCCAGAGGTTGGAAATCACTGGTATAGAGTCTTTTTGGAGACACTGCTGGTCTATACACCTTCCCTAAACAGAGTCAATAACTACACCTTAATTTATTTTAAAAATATGGAATCTGAAAAGGTCCAATGTAGTTTGTTGTGTGCCTTCAAGATTTTTTTCCTGACTTATGGAGAATCTGAGGCAAATCTCTCACAGGGTTTTCTAGGAAAAACTTGTTCAAATGTAGTTTGCCATTGTTTCCTCTGATTCTGAAAGAGTGTCATTTGCCTAAGTTGAGTTTTTTATAGCCGAATAGCAATATGGTGGCGCAGTGGGCTAAAGCACTGAGCTGCTGAGCTTGTTGATCGAAAGGTCGCAGGTTAGATTCCGGGGAGCGGCGTAAGCTTCCGCTGTGAGCCCTAGTTTCTGCCAACCTAGCAGTTCGAAAACATGCAAATGTGTGTAGATCAAAAGGTACCGCTCCGACGGGAAGGTAACGGCGCTCCATGCAGTCATGCCGGCCACATGACCTTGGAGGTGTCTATGGACAACGCTGGCTCTTCGGCTTAGAAATGGAGATGAGCACCACACCCCAGAGTCAGACATGACTGGACTTAATGTCAGGGGAAAACCTTTACCAACCTAGCAATATGAAAGCCGGTCTCCAGAGTCATAGTTCAATGCTCAACTCACTGTATATCATAGTGACTTTCCTACCTTTCAGTAATATGATATACCGCTTCCCCCTTTTTGTTTTTATAGATTCCAGTCCCAGCAAGTCCTACCTGAGTCGTAATTATGGTTTGTCCCATAATGAAGAACAGTCCAGCTATACTCCAAAAGGTAGAACAGAATGGAATTGAAATTATAAGATGGTAAAAAATTGGGTTCTCATAGCAACAGAGTTGTCTTAGTGCAGTTAACTCTGGGTGGTCTGAAGATAGACTATGCTCATCTAATAAATCTTCCTGTGATTTGCAATAAATAGGAAATAATTGCTGACATCTTGTCCCTGAATTGCTTAACTCCTGCAACAACAAAATGTTTCTCTCCTGCCCTGAATCTTTTTTTATATAGTATTTTTATTGAAGAACTAGCCATCCCCTGCCACACGTTGCTCTGGCCCAGTCTGGTGATCTGGAAAATAAAGTAATGAGAAACTGTTGGTTTCTAATATATGTAGTTTTCTTTTATGGTTGTATGTAAACAGTATTTGATTAAGTTTTCTTGCCCTGGTGAAAGGGGTTGGACTGGATGGCCTTAAGTATTTTCTATTGGTCACAGGGGTTCAGTGTGGGAAGTTTGCCCCAATTCTGTCATTGATGTGGTTCAGAATGCTCTGTGATTGTAGGTGAACTATAAATCCCAGTAACTATAACTCCCAAATGTCAAGGTCTATTTTCCCCAAACTCCATCTGTGTTCATATTTGGGCATATGGAGTATTTGTGCCAAGGTTGGTCTAGATCCATCATTGTTTGAGTCCACAGTCCTCTCTGGATGTAGGAGAACTACAACTCCAAAACTCAAGGTCAGTGCCCACCAAAACCTCCTAGTGTTTTCTGTCAGTCATGTGAGTCCTGTGTGCCACGTTTGGTTCAAGGAGAAGGATTGGAGAAGGATTAAAACCAAAATAAAATGAGAGAAATTACAGATTTTATTTCCCCGTCCTCATCGGTTCTTTTTTTATAAATGTCTCCCAGTTAATAATAATAATAATAATAATAATAATAATAATAATAATAATAATAATGTTCTTTTGTGGGATTAACAGAACTCAAAAACCACTGGACGAATTGACACCAAATTTGGACACAAGGCACCTAACAACCCAATGTATGTCCTTCACTCAAAAAAATAATTTTGTCATTTGGGAGTTGTAGTTGCTGGGATTTATAGTTCACCTACAATCAAAGAGCATTCTGAACCCCACCAACGATGGAATTGAACCAAACTTGGCACACAGTTCTCCCATGACCAACAGAAAATACTGGAAGGGTTTGGTGGGCAGTGCCCTTTGGTTTTTTTGAATTGTAGTTCACCTACATCCAGAGATCACTGTGGACTCAAACAATGATGGATCTGGACCAAACTTGTCAAGGATACTCAGAATGCTCAAATGTGAACACTGGTGGAGTTTGGGGAGAATAGAATCTTGACATTTGGGAGATATAGTTGCTGAGATTTATAGTTCACCTTCAATCATAGAGCATTCTGAACCCCCACCAACGAAAGAATTGGGCCAAACCTCCCACACAGAACCCCCATGTGGGCCACAGCAACGTGTGGCAGGGGACGGCTACCTCTTGCAAATTTTAAGACTGCATGTTTACCTGCCGAAGCTCTAAATTAGTTACAGCCACAACCAGCTGCACATCACGCTCTGCTTGCTGTGAGCTAAATGCTCGACTATTAGTATCCTGTTTGTATTTTGGATGCTCTGCTATATGTTTTTGGATAGTTTCCCATAACACTGGTGATTCATTCTCTTTTCCCCCGTCCTTCCCCCTTTCTTGTTTCAGACTGGGACATCAATTCTTCAGAGACTTCAACAACTTTCTACCGCCAGTCTGCATCATCATTAAGCAGTGATGTACTTCCAGGGTCAGTGAGTGCCCGCCAACCGGTAAGTTGCCTTCCATTGTCTATGGAGAGAATAAGGAAGCTACCAATATTGAGAAAAGGTCCTTATGCTGACAAGCCCCTCTGTTTTGTTTTGTTTTTCAGATTGCAGAGCCATATCCGTACAGTTCCAGTCGGAATGATGTGTCAACTGAGAGGTAATTAGGGATTGGGGAAAGTAGTTGGCTTTTTGACCTCTGTTGCCCAGACATCTTGGACAAGTTTTACACTAAGTGGTAGAAATTGAGTGGCCCTCCAAATGTTGAGATCCTCACTATTGATGGTGTTAGCTAAGGCCCCTTCCACACAGCTGAATAAAATCCCACATTTTCTGATTTGAACTGGAATATAGGGCAATGTAGACTCAGATATCCCAGTTCAAAACAGATATTGTGGGGTTTTCTGCCTTGATATTCTGGGTTATATGGCTGTGTGGAAGAGCTCTTTGGCTGCTATGGGTTACAATTCAGCAATGTCTGGAGGACTTCATAGTTCCCACTATTGCTGAATGGTAGGGTGTTGAGTTAGATCATTGGTTCCTAACCTGTGGTCTGTTGATGACCAGTGGTCCCCAAGAACTAAAATATGGTCCGCGGCCTCACTGTACTACACTGTTGCAACAAGAGCGACTGGTCTCGCAAAACCCTCTTATAGTGCCAAGGCTTATTACATACTAGCTGTACTCGCCACGCATTGCTGTGGCCAACCTTCCCTCCCTCTTTCTCTCCTTCTTTCCCTCCTTCCCTTTTCTTCTTTCCTTCTCTCCTTCCTTCCTTCTCTACCTCTTTCCTTCCTCCCTTTTTCTTTTCCTTCCCTTTCTCTTTCTTCCTTCTCTGCCTCTTTCCTTCCTTCCTTTTTGCTTCCATCCTTCCTTTTGTCTTTCCTTCCTTCCCTCCCTCTTTTCTCTTTCTTCCTCTTCTTCCTTCGCTCCCTCTTTCTTTGCTTTGCTTTTTTCTTTCCTTCTCTCTTTCCTTCTTTCTCTACCCATTTCTTTCCATCTCTCTTCTTTTCCTCTTTCTCTCCTTTCTTCCTTTTCTACCTCTTTCCTTCGCTGCTTCCTTCTTTCTTTTCTTCACTCCTTCCTTCTTTCTTTTCCCCTTCCTTCCCTCCCTCTTCCTTCCCCTTTTTCTGAATGTCATTTACCTTTTCGTCATTTATCTTTTGGGGAGTTTTAAGTCCTTTCCACTATTGGGGGGGGGGGTATGAGTGATGGACACTCATTGGTCTGTTAGGAGTGTTGTGTCCAAATTTCGTGTCATTTCATCCAGTGGTTTTTGAGTTATGTTAATCCCACAAACGAACATTACATATTTATTTATATTATAGATGGTTTTCTGCAGGTGAGCAGATGGCAACTAATGGATGGTATACGTTCTGTATCAGAAACTAGAGCTGATGTGGTCTATCCAGTGCAATTTTCTGAATCGGCACCAAAATAACCAAACTAAATCTAAAGTTGGGTTGTTGTAGGATATGGCCATATTCTAGAGCAGTGGTCCTCAACCTGTGATTTCTGGGAGTTGTAGGCCAAAACACCTGGGGACCCACAGGTTGAGAACCACTGTCCTAGTGGCATTCTTTCCTGATGTTTCGCCTGCATCTATGGCAAGCATCCTCAGATATAAGCATCTATGGCAAGCATCCTCACTACCTCTGAGGATGCTTGCCATAGATGCAGGCAAAACGTCAGGAGAGAATGCCTCTAGAACAGTGGTTCTCAACCTGGGGTCCCCAGGTGTTTATGGCCTACAATTCCCAGAAATCCAGCCAGTTTACCAGCTGTTAGGATTTCTGGGAGTTGAAGGCCAAAACATCTGGGGACCCACAGGTTGAGAACCACTGCTCTAGAACATGGTCTTATAGCCCGAAAAAACCTACAACAACCCAGTGATTCCGGCCATGAAAACCTTCGACAATACAAACCTAAAGTTGACCAAAAACTGATTCAAAACCCTTTTGGTACTACTGTTGGAGAGTGGTTCCTAGTCAAGTGGTCCCTGGTCAAAAAAAAATTGGGAACCACTGGGTTAGATTATCCTTGTGACCCCTTCCAGCTTTGTGATTCTATGAAATCAATGCTGTGCTTCTGGTCGCTTCTGGAGCTGTGTGTTGTGTTGTGTACTTTGTGTTTTGTTTTTTTTTAATGCAATACAACTGTTTTGATTCGCTCCTGACATGATAAATAAATAAATAAATGTTGTGCTGAGGAGAGAGAGTTTAAGGAGCTCCACTGGCTGCCGTTTATTTTCAGAGCCCAATTTAAGGTGCAGGTGCTTACCTACAAAGCCCTGAACGGTTTGGGACCACCCTATCTGCGTGACCGTATCGCTGTCTACGAACCCACACGCTCACGCCGGTCATCTGGAGAGGCTCTGCTCGTGATCCCGCCTGCGTCGCAAGCGCACTTGGTGGGAACGCGAGACAGGGCCTTCTCTGTGGTGGCCCCCCGCCTCTGGAATGCCCTCCCGAAAGATCTCAGACAAGCCCCTACATTGGCAGTCTTCAGAAAGAATTTGAAAACCTGGCTGTTCCAATGTGCCTTTTCAGATTAGGAACCTCCAGCACCAAATCCTAGAAGCACCTTAGTAGAACCAAGATCACTGCACACTGCACACCGCACTTATATTATAATCCTACATTCCTCCCGCCACATCAGCACTTTTAATCCTGTACCCCTATTCCTGGCCGGCCCAGTTTTAATAGTGTCCTGTTGTATTGTTACTGCTATTGTTTTTTGCTTAGCTGTTTTTAATTTGCTTTAGGTACTGTATTGTTGTATTGTGTTTTGGGCTTCGGCCTGTGTAAGCCGCATCGAATCCCTCGGGAGATGCTAGCGGGGTACAAATAAAGTTATAATAATAATAATAATAATAATAATAATAATAAATATAAACAGGGCCCTGGTTGGGTGGTCACAATACTTGGAATGATCTTTCTGCGTTGGTATTTCTTTCAGGGACAGCAGTTCCTACCAGAGCGTCTTCCATCGGAAATCATCTGGCCTGTCCTCTCTGGGGGTAGAGCCACGTCGTGCCATTCGCCCTGAGCTCCAGGCCCAAACATCAGCAGCCAAGGCTTCGGATAGAAGTGCAGGCACCAAGCGCTACATACCCCTCTGGCTCCAGTTCCTGGTCTTTATTTTGCTGGCTGGCTTCTTGGCCTTTGTCTACTTCTACCTGCAAGATGGTGCTAATGACAACCCATTTGCGAATTATTTTAAGCAGTGAATCCCTGGAGCCTCAGGCATGTTGTATGTTCCAAAGAGCCTGGAATGTTTTCCACTGAAATGCCTTCCTCCTTCCTTTCTTAAACCCCAAAGTGAAGTGGTGTATTGGGGCCAGAGGTGCGTGAGGGCTTCTCACTAACATCTCTGAATTATGGCAGCTCCCCACCCTTCTCCCCATCCCTTAAATCAGCTATCGTGGGGCATTTTTCATCTTATATTTTTGTAGCTTTGGCTTTATAATCAGGGTGTGGGTTGGCAGAACGGGTGGGATCCTTTCCCTCCAAACACATCAAGAAATTTAAGGGAGAAGACTAATGTAGACTGTCAACAGCTTTAAAATATAAATCATTGTATGGAATTTTCAATAAACTCCACTGATTTTTTTTCTAAAGTGAGCCCTGCTTCATAATTTCATCACCTCAGCAGGGAGCTTTGAGATGGTTGAACAGAAGCTCTCCGAAGCTCTAGGTGCCCTTACCGCTTATTACAGGGAAAACCAGCTGATCCTTAATCATCTAAAACACAGACATGAGATATGATAGCGATGTATAAATATGTGAGAGGAAGCCACAGGGAGGAGGGAGCAAGCTTGTTTTCTGCTTCCTTGGAGACTAGGACTCGGAACAATGGCTTCAAACTACAAGAGGAGATTCCATCTGAACATGAGGAAGAACTTCCTGACTGTGAGAGCCGTTCAGCAGTGGAACTCTCTGCCCCGGAGTGTGGTGGAGGCTCCTTCTTTGGAAGCTTTTAAACAGATGCTGGTGGCCATCTGTCAGGGGTGATTTGAATGCAATATTCCTGCTTCTTGGCAGGGGGTTGGACTGGATGGCCCATGAGGTCTCTTCCAACTCTGATTCTATGATTTTCACCTTAAGAACAGACAAGCATCCCGAGCTCTGAGGATCACTTGGGAAGGAATCCCACTGGAGCATTGCAGCACACCCAAATACTTGGGAGTCACTCTGGACCATGCTCTGACCTACAAGAAGCACTGCCTGAACATCAAGCAAAAAGTGGGTGCTAGAAACAATATCATACGAAAGCTGACTGGCACAACCTGGGGATCACAACCAGACACAGTGAAGACATCTGCCCTTGCGCTATGCTACTTTGCTGCTGAGTATGCATGCCCAGTGTGGAACACATCTCACCACGCTAAAACAGTGGATGCGGCTCTTAATGAGACATGCTGCATTGTCACAGGGTGTCTGCACCCTACACCCAGGGGCGGCTCAACCCGTTAGGCAAAGTAAGCATTTGCAGTATAGTTGATTTTGCCCAGGGGCGCTCTTGAGGCGGTCTTGGGGGAAAATAGACCTTGACATATATGAGTTGTAGTTACTGGGATGTATAGTTCACCTACAATCAAAGAGCATTCTGAACTCCACCAATGATGGAATTGAACCAAATATGGCACACAGAACTCCCACAACGAACATATAAATATATATCAGTGATTGGGGGGCCCAAAATACTGTTTGCTTACTGTTGAAAATTACCTAGGGCCACCTCTGGCTACACCACTGGAGAAATTACACTGTCTAGCCAATATTGCACCACCGGACATCCTCTGGAAAGTAGCAGCCAATAGTGAAAGGACCAAGGCAGAGACATCTCCAGCTCATCCCCTGTTTGGGTATCAGCCAGCACGTCAACAACTTAAATCTAGAAATAGTTTTCTAAGATCTACAGAGACACTCGCTGGAACACCCCAGCAAGCAAGAGTCCAAAAGTGGCAGGCTCAAACCCAGAACCTCAATCAATGGCTTATACCAAATGAGAGACTCCCCCCTGGGCACACAGAAAACTGGGCAACTTGGAAGGCGCTGAACAGACTGCGCTCTGGCACCACGAGATGCAGAGCCAACCTCAAGAAATGGGGCTACAAAGTGGAATCCACGACATGCAAGTGTGGAGAAGAGAAAACTACAGACCGTCTGCTGCAATGCAACCTGAGCCCTGCACATGCACAGTGGAGGACCTTCTTATAGTAACACCAGAGGCACTCCAAGTGGCCAGCTACTGGTCAAAGGACATTTAATCAACTACCAAGCTTGCAAACTTCATGTTTGTATGTTTGTTTGTTTGTTTTGTTAAAAATGTAATACAACTGTCTGGTTGCTCCTGACACGATAAATAAATAAATCACCTCAGCCTGAGGTCCCTTCCACACAGCTGAATAAAGTCTCACACTATCTGCTTTGAACTGGAATGTATGGCAGTGTGGACTCCGATAACCCAGTTCAAAACAAATATTGTGGGATTTTCTGCCTTGATATTCTGGGTTAGGCCTCTGAGTCATTCCTTTTTCGTTCTTCACATTGTCCTCCCTTTTCTCACTAAGAGCAAACACACATATATTC